GAACGAGATTGTTTTTAAAGCTATATATATATTATGTTACATATATTTTTATATAAAATAAAAAAATGTAAATTAAGTATGATAAATGTTTAAGAGTATAAAATATATAGCACCATATATTTTAAATAGTATATACAACAATTTTATTATACATTGTCATAAATTTTTGACTATAAGAAAATAAAAATACTTTTTCTTTTAAAAATGTGGATAATATATTTGATAAAATAAAATTACTCAACAAGAAATATCATTCTAACCAATTATTTAAATGTGTAGATTTTAAAATACATAATATCACTTATACAAATAAATATTTCTAATAAAAAGTAAGAAAAACATCCAAGTGAACGTGCGAGCCAAGCTCTAGTAATCTTTTATAAGAACATTTATGTTCATCATAATATATTTTTCCCTTCACATAAAGATAATATTTTTCATTTGTCATACATATATAAAAACACATTGAATATGTATTATAAATGAATGATTTTGTGAATATCAATGTTTAATAAATTTAAACCAATTGTAATTCAGTAAATTATAATTAATATTTTTGCGATTTAAAACTTTGTATTGAAACAGAAAAAAATTCTGTCTTTGTAAAAAAATTTTCCCAAAACTTTTATCTTTTGTAGAACGAAAATAATACTCCTTCCGTTTCACTTTACTTGTCACTGTAGAGTAAAATTTCTGTTTTAAAATAGGTGTCGTTTTATAATTTCAGGGAAAAAATTATTAATTTTATATGATATTTTATTTTTCTATTGGATGCAAAGTGGTTAGGAAATTGTATTTTTATCTTAAAAATATATAAAATTAAATATCTGTGTGTAAAAACTTAAAACGATAATTAAAGTGAAACGGATAAATTTACGATATAATCAAAAACATAGGTAACAGCCAAAGTTAAGTTTTATTAATTCTATTTGTGGATATCGAGATTCAATATTTTCGTGCACGTTATCTAGATTAAGCAATAATTGAATACGGGCAACATTATGTATATATATCAATAAAAACAAGCTACATTACCAACCTAACGTCAAACCGACAATTTTATACATATTCATTTATTTTGATAAATGGGACCCGGTTCGATCAATCAAGATCTCTGACTGACCAACCTAACGTCAAACCGACAATTTCAATTTTTCTGTAGGTCCTGTTTAATGGTTTTTCCTAACCGGGGAAAATCTCTTTTCTTTTCACGAGGGATACTTGTTCGACACTATTTCTACTACAATAATTTCCCTTAAAAAGGCAACTGTGTAGTATTTCACTATTTCTACAGATTTGCTGACATCTAAACTGTTGTTAAAATTACTCTAAATGTTAATTCGAAACTACAACTAAATATAGATGAAAGGATCACCAGTCGAATCGATTATCTAAGGAAAAATTATATCTGACCGGGTCTGATCTATATAGGAAAATGAATAGCCTCTACTTCTTACTTCTTTAGCTAGTGCATCCGCTCGTTCATTTCTACTCCACATAATATGAAACAGGATTCACATCAATCGAGAGACATCTCTTACTAAACTTTTTACATCAATTATTTTCACCAATATCAAAGAGGAACAGACATCAACCTTTTCATCTGTGTTGTTGGTAATGATATCAACATAAAATATACATTCCACTTTTCTAGAAATAGTCATAGACCTTATTATTAGAGCATCCGCAACGATGATACTTAAAAAGGAATTCTTAGAAAAAAATAATTAAACAATTAGTAGATTTCATAAAAAAACTTAAAAAATTCATCTTTAATAATTTTTAAATAAAAATTATTTTTGATAAATTTTTACACTATTTACGGGTTCTCACAACACATGTCGATCTACGATTAATTAGTTATTACTTTTTTATTTAAAATAAAAAAATAATATAAAAAAAATCAAAAACTTAGAATTCTAAGAGGTAGCACCGTTGCGATGGCTATACATCATCAAATCAAATCAAGGATTATATGTAGTATTTGGAGTATTTGACAAGGGTGACCTCAGAATTCACGGGTTACGTTGCCAATATGAATAGTTTCGTTTTCCAATTAGTTTCCTTTAAATGCGTAGAAATCTTTGCCGACGAAATAGATTATGTAGTTGTTCACCAAAAATAGAAAGGGGACGTGTCATTCTCACATGAGATGCGTTACACGTTACCAAATCTGAATAATTTGGTCAACTCCATATCATATCAATTATTTCTTTTTTTCCTTAAATACATATTACACTTAGGGTTTTTAGTAATTAAACTCTTCAACTACGTAAAATAAACATTCATCTAAAAATGCTACAAAAATCCTCAATTATAATTCCGTTAATGTTTATTCCCTTTACAAAATGTCGTGACAAAAGATGACATATATTAATGATTTATAAATTAAGGATTTCTAATGCTGAAAATTTAGTTGAAGGATTTTCTTCCAATTCAAAAATAGTTGATGGTTTTTATCACTACAAATCATAAAATGTTTTAAAAGCTTTATCATCATTTATCATTTATGTATTGTTTAAAATTGATTTATTAGTTCTTAAAACTAATTTATAAATCATTATGCATCATTTTATGAATTTTATAGCCGTTTTATAAAGATTCATAAATATTTTAATAATTTCACAAATGATTAATAAAGCTTCACAAAGCAAAAATAATAGATCAAAAATATTGTTTTATTAATCAATAGATAAAAGTAGAACGTATTAGTTCATAAATCAGTGAGAAGAATAATCATACATTATTTTTTGGGACAGGTAGAGAGTATGACCCGAATGTCGGATATAGTGAAAATAGGTAAAAGAAAATTAGTATTCTCATGAATCAATTATCGTCGACATTACTTAAGACTTAATAGAACTTAATTTTTTTTAAATACAGTGTCGCCATTATCAAATACAAATTATTTCTAAAATTAAGTTATATTAGGTCTTAGGTAGTGTAAAAGAGTATTAATTCATAAAATCAATCTTCCTACTTAGAGTAGGGTGCTAATTTTCTTTTCTAATTTCCACTATTTCTGATATTCGGGTAATACTTCCTACTAGCTCCGAAAAAATAATGCAGAATTGTTAATTTATGAACCAATATGTTATAATTGTATCCTATTGATTAATAAATCAATATCTTTTATCTATTATTCTTATTTTATGAAGCTTTATTAATCACTTGTAAAATTATTAAAATATTTATGAATCTTTAGAAAATGGTTATAAATTTGATAATAATGCATAATAATTAATAAATTAGTTTTAAAGGTTATAAAGTAAATCAATTTTAAACAATGCATAAATGATAATAAAGCTTTAAAACATTAAATGATTTTTAGTATAAAAATCCTTAATTATTTTCGAATCAGAAGAAAGCCCATGAACTAAATTTTCTGCATTATAAACCTTCAATTTATAAACCATTAACATATGTCATCCTCCGTCACGGTATTTTAGACGGAGTGTAACAAACATTAACAAAATTAAAGTTGAGGATTTGTTTTGTAGGGATTTTTAGTTGAAGGTTTATTTTCTGATTCATTTTTAGTTTGACGGGTTTAATTACTAAAAACCCTTACACTTAATATAAAATAAAAAATAATCTCTTGAAAATTACCTTGTCAATACTAAACACGTGAGTCTTGTATCTGAAGAAAAGAACGAGAAGAGTGTACGAATATGATGGGGAAATATGTCGAGAAAGGTCGACAAAATGATTGACATGAAGCTGCATGCTATTGGTTTAGGCACTACAATCATACTTGGACACAAACAACCATGAGCTAATACGGACAACTATAAACAAAATAATTGATTTCATTGTTGGTTGAGAGGTGTGACTGCTGCAGCGTGTAATGAGTGGTATAGCCATAATGGTTATTCAAAATGGAAAAATTAGAGAAAAATAGTTGCGTGATATCACACAGAATCTAAAAGAAACGTGTTTCTCGCTGTAGAATCCTTTCTAGCCGAGTTGTATTTGTAGGTTTCATTTTAATTTTCTTTTACATTCCACCTCCTCTCCTTTTTCTTTTATTTAACCCTATCAAGTTTCCTATATAGAGATTGTATTGGCGAGTTGTGAAGTCTAATGATCTCACATAACGCAAGAAGTAGAGGTGGAGGGACTCAACCGACAGATCCTGTTTGGAACTGGGAGGTGGTCAAGTTTACTGCCACTATTAGTGGTTTGGAAGTGCTCAGCTGAACTGAGGGCCCTTTGGCCCAAGATAAGAAGAAAATTAGCCCAAAAGTGATCAAACTACCTAGCTAGAAGTTGCAAGACTTCCCACTTCCCACATTACACTCTAAGAACCAAGGTTGAGTACCAAGGTTCACTTCGTTTCAGAGACTACAAGCCTTCTTTCCTCAAAGGCCCAAACGAGTTCCAATCAACTTCTAAACACGTGTTTCCATCTATGGTGTAATTTGCCCCCCCCAAAAAACAATTAGAAATTTAATATGAAGGAAACGGTGGCTTTTATTTAGTTATTATGCGACTAAACATCTACATGAGGAATAGCATATTAGATCACATGTTTTGATACTTGGCATGTTCCTTCACAGTGGAATAAGAATTTGGCTTATTTCTATGTTTATTTTTCTTCATGAACAAACAACCAAATCTTCTCATGGTATATAAGAGAATATAAGAAATACATATGAATCTCAAACATTACTTGAGTCTCTTGGACAAAACATAAATGGATAATTTAGTTAAGCAAAGAAAAAGAAGGTATACACTTCCAAATCTCCATTTTATTTTTATTTATGGTGTAAATAGATTTTTAATAAGACTAATTAACCGCATTATATATGTTAAAAAACGTTTGTGCAAATATTCATTTTTATTGATCTATAGGGTTTCAATTTCTGAGAACAAACAAACGGATTTGCCAATGCTATCAGAATTGGCCATAACCGGTAGATATTATTTGTTTACCATCTCCTTACATTCATTCTTTATGGAAAATGTATGATAAAAGTTTGTCTTGTTTAATATCAATTAATGGAAGATAATCCAGCACTAAACTGGCTGAAAAACCAAGCATATTGGTACGAGAAAAATGACTACTACAACGAGAAAGAAAGCGAATTCGCGACGTCTGTTGCGGCTGCTGCATTTGTCATCACATCAATGGAGGAAGCCTATAAAGAAAATGCGAATAGAATGAGAGAAGAAATCAAGAAGTCGCGGAAGAAGAAAACAAATCCGGTAATACCTAAAACCGACGTAAAGAGAATGAACAGATCATATACTCAAGACTTGACTATTGGAGGTAAATTAATACAAAGAAAATTATCTAAGAGGCTGCTAGCCTATATTGATCAACTTTTAGCTGAATCTTTTCCCCAGAGGAGAGTTTCAGAAAAGAAAAGATGGACAATCCACAAGAAAATCGTAGGGAACAAGAGATTGGCTCATCGTCTAGAACATTGGGACTTGCTTCAGGAACAAGCAAAGCAGATTCTTGGGAAAAATCTCAACTCAACAAAATCAGATTGAGGTCAAAATTCATTCTTAATTAGTTATTAATATTCAAGGTATACAGTTAGTTTTTTTTTTATTGATTAGCAAGAAATATAAACTTTACTTGAAGGTATGAGAAAATGAAAACTGAAATTGTGGGATGGGAAAATGAGAGAAAGGTAGCAGCTAAACTCAGAATGGAGAAAAGAAAGGTTGTTTTCCAATAATAAAAATGACTAAAAATTCTTTTAGTGTTTATATTTAAATACTCGGGTAGTAGATAATTTGATTTTGTTTTAAATTTGTGTAATTAAGAGTGAGTTGCAGAAAAGAACAGAAATAAATAACCAGCATTATAAGTCCAAATTAGCAAGGATCCAAGTCATTGCTGATGGAGCCAAGAAACAGCTTGAGGAGAAGAGGAGGAGCCAAGAAGCTCATGTTCAAGAAAAAGTAAAGAAAATGCGTCGAACTGGCAAAGTCCCTGCCAATTATTTCTGCTTTCGATGTTACTAATATCACAATTACTACCATCAATATTATACTATATTGTGTGTATAACAACAAATAATAATTATGCTCAGTAAATAATCAAAAAATGAATATGATAGTCGATGTTTTACTCGACTTCTATATCCTATTTCACACGGGAAATGTATTATACAAAGACGAGTAAGAACAAAAGAAGGGACCAAAAAGGATTTTGATAGAAAGATAACAACTAGTTATAAGTTAAAGAGATATGATCTCAAATGAAAATGAAGCATTCTTTGGTCCAGTGAAGCTTCTCTCTCACCCCTAAGTTTCTTTCTCCAATGGTAAGATCGTAACAGCTTCTCTATGTAGTGGTCAGGACCATTCGCATTTACTATTCTATCTTCTTATTTGGAAATTATGTAATACTGTTATGTCTGTCATTGTACAATTCTCTATCAAAAGATTTTGACAACTTTTTATTTATTTTATAAATGAGTTTTGCTGTGTTCTTTGAATATATGCCGTGAAGAGTTTTGTTCACTGATCTTATGGTATGAATCCGCGTTTCTTAAATGATAGTAATGGGCAATTCAATGTTGTAATGCATTCCAATTATAACTCTGTCACAACGCTCACTTTTTCTATTAAACAATAGGTTCATTTTGGAAAATCCAACAAAATTGAGTTAACTTATGGATTTTTCTGTAAAAATTAATACTCATACTCTTATTAATCCACAATAATTCACATTTCTTTTATGATTGAATCCATGACATAGGAATACTGAAAATGTTAGTCAGACACTTCACCAAATATACTTTCAGTGGATTGTATGTTTCAAAAAGAAAACTAAAAAAAAATAGTAAAATTAATGGATAAAAAGAAGGTAGACGGATGGAGTTGAATAGGGAAATGTATGTTTTTAATTAGCTAACGCATAACAAGTTATTTTCAATTTATTCCTACAACTTGATTTGATTAACTGAAACAATAATATCATTCCATGATATGAAATATAAAAGCCTTAATTTGAACATAATTACAAATTATTTTCAGAAAAGTGACTTCATGGATGTATGTTAAGTTGTAGCCATAAGTCAACATATATCCATGAAGTGCAAGAGTACACTAGTACATATAATGTAAACATAAGAGAAAAACTATAATACATGATATTTCCAAAAACAACATTTACTTTTCAATAAATACTTTATACAAAACCATTGATCAACTAGAATTGAAGTAAAAAGTAACAATTATTCATTTTTACAGGCTAAGTAACAATTATTCTTTTTTTTAACGCTAAGTATCAATTAAATTATCATATAATATTTGATTCAATTACATATGATCAACTACATGTAGTAGTGACGAACAACTCCATGAATATTACTTCTACGAAGAAGTTCTCTCTGAAACACCAGAATCGCTAGATGGTTATGCATGTATGGCACTCTCAATAGACATGCTCTCTCTGTAGCATGTAACTAACGATCACAACGAATAACTCTGTCTACAGTATACTAAAACTTCTGATAAGCTTTGCATTTTATAATCTATAAGAAATTGTATTGTCTAAGATTCGAATTACAAACTTGGCGCTTCCATAGTGCTTCTAATCTTATAATCCTATAATCTAACCTTTAAACCTTAATTCTATGGTGCTTCCACATGAAATGTTATTTTAAATCAAAGGATTAATAAGATTACTAATGTAAAGAAGAGATATCGTTATAAGAAAATAAAAAAAGACTATGAACAGATAAACTCAGAGGAGCGTTTTGATTCGCTGTCAAGAATCTAATGCAAGAAGTTGATTGGCTGAACATACAGATCAACCCTGGGTCCCAAATACTTATCCAATAAAATCTATACAGATGTCGTAGTGACGACGACATATGGTTTAAGCTGTCGGCCGTAGCTCGAGCGGGTGGGTGAAATCACTTAAGATTTTGATGTGACACCAAATGATTGGGAGATCTCTTTAGGCTTACAAAGGTTGATCTCGTAATTACCACATATTTCAAGAAAACTTATATTTCTTCTGACTCAACATTTACATACATTCATATCAAGTACATTAGCCACCGTCAGGCTATTCAAATTTCAAGCTAGTCCCTCAACTAATGGTTGTAAATCAGTACAAGTATTAAAGCCAATGATCGAAAAGGAGATTGTTTGGCAATCCTCAACTTGAAGGTTCATATCTTGGTAAAAATTGCAAATAAATAAAACAAAATCTCTATAATACTATTTGAGAAGTCATTTTCTTAGGTGTCGCGCTTACGTTAACTCTCACGCTGGTTGATTACTATGATACCCCTAATGAATTAAAAATATAATTAAATATTATTTCCTTTTTAAAAATTTCCAAATAACAATATAAAATAAAAAGAAAACCTTTATAAAATTTACAAAACTAATTAAAAACGAAAATATAAGTATATATAATATGGCTTGATAAAAAAAGGAAAGTTCAAAAAATAGTAATAATTAATTTTAAATATATTTTAAATAACATAAAATATACCTTTGAAGTAATAAAATACTTTATATCTATATCTTCTTAGATAAAAAAACAATGTATGTGTATAATGAGATTTCATAAAAAAAAATTTCACACAAAAAATATTGCTACTAGAAAAGAATTTTTTTTTCTTTAAAAAAATAATTTTAAACAATAAAATATATATATTTTCAAAATAATTATGATTACATAAAATAATCAACTAACATAAACTGATATATGTTTAACTGACATTTTTTATAATTAGTATTATTGAAATTATTTTTTAGTATATTTATTTGACTATAATATCTTACAATTACAGTAAAAATATAAATTCTATTTTACTTATATAGTATAATTTCTCAAAAACAATCACTTTTTACTGACTATTTTAAGAGATACTAAAGATATAACTAAAAATAAATTTAATGATTAAACATCTTTTGATCAAGTAATTACAATTATTTTAAAATATCATAACACTATATAATTTAACGAGGTAGATATATTATATTTTAATAATTAAAATTATATGTTCTAAGAATAAGGATTCTGATTTACTTAAGTATTTTGATTATGGTTATATTAAGTTTCACAAACATAAAAACAGAAAATAACTACAATTATTTTAAAATATCATAACACTATATAATTTAACGAGGTAGATGTATTATATTTTAATAGTTAAAATTATCTGTTTTCTTAATAATCTTTTGATTTTTAATTTTTTGTTTTTATGTTTGTGAAACTTCATATAATCATAGTCAAATATTTAAGCAAATCAGAATCTTTATTTTTAAAATTATTTAAAATAAATTTCAGTTTTCCATCCAAACAATCTAAAGCATAAATTTATTTAGAATTTATAAAATATGTTAACTATTGTAAATATTGATATGTGTTCAAAAATCTTCTAGAAATTCATTAGTTACTTATGTATGTAATTTAGAATCAGAAACTTTAGTTTTTATTTTTTTCCTTCTAAGCACAAAAAAATCTTAAGTTATATATAATCTTACTAAATATACTTATATTTCTAAGATAACAACCAGCATAAATGCAAATAAAACAATTAATCAAAAATTTAATATTTTAAAATATAAAAGATAATAGTTGAATTCAGAGAAATAGATAGAATCCAATATATCTAAATGATAACTAAATCGACCGTAAAAACAATAAAATAGACTAAATATAACATATCTAAAATTATATATATAATTAAAGTAATATAATATTATAATATAAATTAGACATACCAACTATAAATTAATTTAAAATTAAAATAAATATCAATCAGTTATTATTGTATACTAGATATGAGCCCGTTGCGTTGCAACGGGGTTTGTTTGATGTTTTAATTTAATAAAAACATAAAATAAATAAACTATTTTATCATAGTTTTATGTGGTTGATTTTTGTATATGTTATCTGAGATTTATTTTATAGTTAAAAGACAATTGTTACACATAAATTTAAGTTAATACATTTATTTTATAATAACGGTTCATAGATGAATCGCTATCAAATTTGTACTTAGATTAGAGAAGAAACTATATATTTTCCTATGAAAAAAATTGAAAGTCAAATAGCGCCAATCGAGTCAATGATATCATCAAAATTTTCTTATTTAATAATTTAATGCTTTATTGAAAACATTTTTAAAATTTTATTGTGTTATGATTTGTTTTAAAATAAACACATTCTATTTATTAAATCTTCTTTTTATTTACAATTTTAAATAAAAAATACTATTTAATACCTTTTACTCTTTTGTTTAGGATGTAGAAAAAGAGTATTATTGTCATATAAACTTTTACAATTTATCTTATCTTTAGAATTTCAACAAAAAAAAATTGCTATCAAATAATTATTTCTAGTTACTAAAAAATAATTTTAAAATTACTATTTTTACAATTTGTATCAATACTAATTCTACACTCCTTTAATTAATTATATAATTTTTAGTATCATGTTCATCATAAAATTCCCTTTTAAAATATTATCAAATAATTATTTAAATTTTTCTTTTGGTTATGACTTAAAAATATGTTTCAAATATCTCTTGATTAAGATTTTTTAGAAAGGAAAACAATTATCAGATATTCTTATACAGCTTTAAGGATATTTTTAAAAAGAAATCAGTATTACATAATCTCTTACAATTCTACTTTGTCTAGGATTAAGAAAAATATAGTTACTATCAAATAATTAATTCCAGTTAATATTAACTATTTTTAAAAGTTCCCATTTTCAATATTAGGCTTTTTCAATATCAGTAATAATCTTCCAAATTTTCTTGTTAATTAAAAATATTTAGTAAAATTTTACATTCTCTTTGGTCAGGATTTAAAAAAAAAACAAAATCATATTTTAGTAAAGATTAAAAACATTTTCTTAAAAATCTCTTTTATTTATGATTTTAGGAAAAAAAATTATTTTAAAATTTTAAAATTAACATTTAAAGGAAAAAGATATGAGGTGTAAAAAGAAAAATTAGGTTTATATTTTAAAAAGGACAACTCCAGTCGAATAGGTTTTTTTAAGATTCAAAATTAGTATTACTTTTTTTAAATAGTTTTATTATACAATTACGATTTAATATTTTTATTTATTTATAGTTAT